ATAATTGAAACATGCACATCTACACGTCTTCGTCGAAGAGCTCTAGAACTTGTTGATGATGACAGTTCTCTTACCAAGATACTGGATATTGCTCGTCGAATGGAAGATGCTGCACGTGATGCTCGTGTCATGGAGTGCAGTGCCAACAACGGTTCTGCCACTGTTACTAACAGTCATGAGGTATGTAAGGTTCAGGGAGGACATCGTAATCAAAGATGATATCATGGCAAACCTAACAGTAAATTTAGCCGAGAACCACATCACAACTGGGGTCAAGGAACAAGACTCAAGCAGTCACAACGACCCACATCAGAGGGTGTCAACAATAAATGTTACAATTGTGGAGGAGACTACCCACACCAAGGTAGTGTTTGTCCTGCTCAAGGTAAGAAGTGCTATGAGAGCAGTCTCCGCAGTCTCCGTGGTGTAGTGGTAAGACACTCGCCTGGCGTTCCGCGAGCGCTATGTCATGGGTTCGTATCCTGGCCGGGGAGGATTTACTGGGCGCAATTCCTTAACTGTAGCCTCTGTTTAACGCAACAGTAAAATGTGTACTTGGATGAAAAAACGATTCTTCGCGGCAGGGGATCGTATTCCAGGGACCATAGGATTAAGGACTTGCCCGAAACGCTACGCATACTAGTGGCTGTACAAGAATGTAACAACTCTTGTATATATAAAAAAAAAAAAAAAAAAAAAAAAAAAAAAAAAAATGAGTGTGGAAAACTAGGTCATTTTGGTGCTATGTGTCGTTCTGCACTCAAGAAACCACAGTCTATGAATAAAAGCACTGTACGAGGATCAGGTCATAGGTGTCGAGGTGGTAAACACAATATTGCACCTCATATCCAGAATGTTAATAATGTACAAGACAACATTTCATTACAACCAGTCTCAGATGACAGTGAATGTGATTATACTCATGGAGTACAAGCAATCACAGAATGGAATGATCTTCCAAACAACCCAGAGACTATAGTATACATTGCTGGTATTTGTCTCAAAGTTCTCATTGACACTGGATCAAACATTGACACCATTGCTGAATGTCACTATGAGAAATTTAAAAAACAGTTCCCAAAGCTAGAAAACTACAATGGTAAAGCCACTGCCTATGCTTCAAAGGTAGCCTTGCCAGTGATTGGAACTTTCACTGCAGAGATTAAGTCAGAGTGCAATGCTCACTACTACATTCCATGTTGTTAGGAATGCAAAGGAGTCTTCACTCAGTTACAAGACTTCAACCAAATTGGGGCTACTTCAGCTTTCTAATGCTGTAGCAGTGGAATCTGCAAACAATGTTGATGGTATTGTTGCTGAATTTTCTGATCGATTTAAATCCATAGGTTGTTATACTGATAGCAAAGTACATCTTCATATCAACCCAGATGTAATTCCAGTTGCCCAACCACATCGCCGACAACCATTCCATACTCGCAAGAAAGTCGATGCCGAACTGGATAGGCTGATGGAACTAGATATCATTGAACCAGTAACAGGCCCAACACCATGGGTAAGCCCAATTGTCACTCCACCAAAGCCGAAGAATCCAGATGAGATATGCATCTGTGTGGACATGACTAACTATTGGTTAGTAACTAATATAATGAGAGGGAATGGGAGTGGGGCTAAGGAGAGGAGGGGCCAGGAAAGTGGGTGAAGGTATGGGTGGAGAGGGATAGGAAAGTAAGGTAAGGTAAGATAAGGTAATTATCAAAAGAAGGCACCAAACCGGGAAGGCTATGTAGCACCATCAAATATGCGGGATAATCAGAGGGCGCTAAATATCACCAAGGATGCCAATACGAGAGGGATAGGAAAGAGGTAGGTAGGTAAGGGGGGGAAGAGAAGGCACAAGAGGTTGACAGGTACCTGGAAAGGATGGAGGGTAAGGAAAAGAGGGGTAGGTAGGTAACAGAGGGAAGAAGTAGGAAAGTATGGAGGGACAGGAAAGAGGTAGGGAGATGGGAAAGATGAAGGTGGTGGGTGAGGTAGTGTGGCTACTCACGTCAATAAAAATTGTAAATTAACTTAAACTTCTTATAAATACATATTATGCAGGTCTTTTTGTTGATGACACAGTTCTTTTGAGAAAGGCAATTGTCGATCAGGTGCAAGTTTTACTGATGTATAAACCCACACAAACACCTCAATCACATCTCATTCCTGTAATATACTAAATTAAGTTTTTATTCTCAAACTGACCTTCCTTATGACCCCCATGCATATATTCATTGAACCACCATGGATAATTCTGGCAATATTATTGGAACAGCTACTCAATGCACTATTAACAATAAGAACTCTCCACAGCATTTAATAACATTCCAAACTCCATATATGCTCATTACTCTCCAGAGAAAGACCATTAACATTGTTATATGCTTTCTTAATTTATAAAATGTGTGTGGCATTTATTAACACTCATATGCTCTATTCCATTAGATTGTTTCACAATGGAACCTGGAGCATATCTGGGAGAGGGTTTCGGGAGTTCTACTCTCCACGCTCTGTCTGAAGCCAGGCTTGAACCAACTTTGTTCACCGAATTATTTCATTTTTTTGTTTATTCTTTTATTCACTACTCTGCCATACAATTTGAAGTGTAGTCCTCTAGTCCTCTACTTTTACATAAATATTTTGGTTTGTTGTTGGGTTTAAGGCCTATGAACCTGAAGGGTTATTAAGGCCACAACAATAGCTTAATGACCACCCAGCAAGAATAATTTAGTCCTGGATTATGTTCCATACTAAATTCTATACATGTATACTGAGAAACCATGTGATCAGCCAATATTCCAGATATTTCCTTTATTGTTTTATATCAGATATTATGTAACATTCATTTTAATATAAGCACGTATAGTTATCAATCAGGTTCTTCAATAATCTTTCATTATGCACATAATGACAAGTCAGTACTGTAATTATCAAGAGAAGGCACCAAACCGAGAAGGCTATGTAGCACCATCAAATGTGCGGGATAATCAGAGGGCGCTAAATATCACCAAGGATGCCAATACGAGAACAGAAACGCACAAGGCGAATGATATCAAAAGTATTTGAGTCACCAAGAATTCTATCGAGGGACAAGCGACCGCGAGGGGCGGTCGGAAAACATGACACACGCTCGTCCTGGAAGTCAGGACATTCAACAAGAATATGCACGACTGTAAGAGGGACAATGCAATGTGGACAATAAGGAGCAGGGCGGCGCTCCATTAAGTGACCGTGAGTTAAACGGGTATGGCCAACACATAACCTAGCCAGAGCCGTTTCCCACTGCCGGTTACGGTGGCAGGAGGAAGGCCACTGGGACACACAACTCTTAAGAGTACGCAATTTGTTACCAATAACAGAAGACCAACAACTCTGCCATCGGGCAAGGATGGAGGCATGAATAACTGGGTAAAAGTCGGAATAAGGAACACCTTTATGGGAGATGGGACAAGTGCGGATAGCTTCCTTAGCGGCAGCATCCGCGCGCTCATTTAAAGACACCAACATGGCTGGGAACCCAGCAAAATGCAACCGACTTATATTTACTGGAGATAAGAAACAGCCAATGTCGAATCTCGACAACCACCGGGTGGACCGGATTAAAGGACCCATACGCTATGAGGGCACTACGAGAGTCAACTACTACCACAAAGAAGGATTGACACCGGGAAAGCAGGAGACGAAGAGCATAGAGAATAGCATAAAGTTCTGCTGTGAAGATGCTAGCCTCCGGAGGAAGGCGACACATAAGTGTAGTCAGGAAAAACAACAGAGTAGCCCACACCGTCAGCAGACTTAGACCCATCAGTGAAGATGGAAACTGAGTGGGAGTGAAGAAAAGTGCTCAAGGATGAGGCGTTTCAGAACTGTAGGAGGGATAAAAGCTACAGTGATGCAGGTCAGAAGTACAAAATTTGGGAAGGGGACCCTCCACGAGGGCAAGGATGGAACAATACGAGGAGAAACATTGGTAATATGAGCTGAAAGAATCCTGTAAGCGAGACAGACAGACAGAAAGAGGAAGGAGGTGAAGAGGAACAGGAACTACAGGAGGGGTAAAAGTCAAAGCACGATAGAGCCGAGAGTGAGGATGCTGTAAGGATCTCGCAAGATAGTGAAGACAGTAGCGATCACGGTGATCCTGAAGAGAAAGCCAGTGTCAGCGTACAAACTGAGGGTAGGAAGTGAATGAAAAGCACCAGAGCCGAGGCGCAACCCAGTATGGTGCAAAGGATCAAGACGGCGAAGAGTAGAAGGAGAAGCAGAAGAGTATGCAGGGCAACCATAATCGAGTTTAGACAGGACGAGAGAGGAATGTAAATAGTGGAGCGTGCGCCTATCCGCTCCCCAAGAAGTATGGGACAAAACCTTAAGTAGGTTAAAGGCCTTAGAGCATTCAACACGGAGGTAAGAGACATGGGGCGACCAAGACAAACGAGTGTCAAAGAATAACCCCAAAAGCCTCGCGGAATCTTTGTACTGTACTCAAGGGGATGACCATAAAGTGACAGAGGGACGAAGAACAACCCGCTTCGTGAATTGCCTCCTCAAACACCCGGGCGTCGAAACAAAAGAAGGTCAAAAGAATAATCAAAACGGGCAAAAGGTCGGCAGGAAATGACAATTTTATAGGAGAAGAGGGGGGAGAAAAATGAAACACGAGGAAAAGGAAAAGGGGTCTGGCAAAATTGATAAAGGCAGCAGCAGGAGCATAAGGCTGCAAAAGGACAGAGGACTGACCCATGTAGCATCACACTCCGGCAGCTGCCCACCAAGCCCCCCTCACGGCAGCAACAGGCCAGACAGCGAGGAGAAACTCAACACACAATGAACAAAAATATTCAATATTACATATCCTTGGAGTATACAAGACAATATAGTACTTAGTACAATACATTTTCAAATTAAAACAAAACATTACAAAATACCATCAATCTTAAAGTTCTTGGTTAACACTTTATACTTTGGATAATTCAGTGTGATTACTCAAACTTAAAAAATACCATTCAACTGTTATTTTAATAACTTTTATGTTACAGAGTACAGTTTTGAATTCAATGGTAAAATGCACAGCAGCTAATTGCAGTTCTTAATTTGTATGTCTAATATTTTAACCTATGGGTAAAAGATCTTGGCTTTTATGGGTGTATCATTCTTGTCAGAAACTTCCACCAGCAGTTGGTGAATGTCTGAGACTGACCGCTTCATCTGTAATAAAGCAGTCATTTTAGTAACACAGAATACAGCAATATTCGAGACTTCATTGTGCACAGGATTCTTAGCAGATATATGGAAAAAGGCAAACATAGTACCAATCTGTAAAAATGGTAGTCATGAAGAACCTCTACATTATGTACCCATATCATTAACAAGCGTGGTAGTTAAAACACTTGGAAATAATAGTTAAAGCCAAATTGGTTGAACACCCAGAGAGTAACGGCATAACAGACAGACAATATGGGTTTTCGAACAGGAAGATCCTATATAACACCTAAACACCTACTTAATTTTTATGAGAGAGCCACAGAGCTACAACAGGAAAGATGGTTGAGTTGACTGTGTGGACCTAAAAAAAAAGGCTTGACAGTCCCACACAAGAGACTGTTCTGGAAACTTGAACATGCTGGAGGGGTGATGGGACACTGATGACATGGATAAAAGATTTTCTAAATGAGACAGACGAGGGCAGTAATTAGAGACAATGTGTCTGACTGGAGGAGTGTTACGAGCAGAGTACAGTACCACAGGGTTCAGTTCTTGCACCAGTAATGTTCATCATCTACATAAATGATTTACCAGAAGGAATACAGAATTGTATGAACATGTTTGTGGATGATGCTAAGATACTGGGAAAGATAGGAGATGCAGAAGATTATAATACCGTTCAAACTGATCTAGATAAAATAAGTGCTTGGAGCGTTAAGTAGCAAATGGAATTCAGTGAATAAATGACATGTTATTAAATGTGGAATTGGAGAAAATAGACCACACACAACTTACAAATTAAGTGGAAAGGAGTTACAGAACTCTAATAAAGAATGAGACCTAAGGGTGGTTTTTGGATAGTAAGCTGTCACCAGAGGAACACAAAAAACATTGTCGGAAGAGCGTATGCGTAGTTTTCCAACTTCAGACTTGCTTTTATTTACTATACAGTATACAGATGGTGAAATACCAATGAAACTGTTCATGACTTTTGTGAGACCAAAATTGGAATACGCGGCAGTTGTATCGTGCCCATATCTCAAGCAGCACACAAACTGGAAAAAGCGCAAAGGCATGCTACAAAATGGCTTCCGGAACTGAAAAACCAGTTACGAGGAGAGACTAGAGGTGTTAAACGTGCCAAAATTAGAAGATGGAAGAAAAAGAGGTGATATGATAACCACTTACAAAATACTAAGAGGAATCTACCAAATTTACGAAGAGGAATTCCTGAAACCAGCAACTTCACGAACAAGAGGACACCGATTCAAGCCAAGGAAACAAAGGTGCTGAAAAAATATTAGAAAGTTTTCTTTTGCAGTGGTAAATGGTTGGAACAAGTTAATTGAGAAGGTGGAGGCCAAAACTGTCAGTAGTTTCAAAGTGTTATACGACAGTACTGGGAAGATGGGACACCATAAGTATCTAATCCTGTAACTACACTTAGGTAATTATATGTATTAAAAGATACTGTATACTGTACCTGTATTGGACCATTAGTAACACTGAACATATAAGCGTTATAGATATTCTATACTAAATTAGCATAATCAATTGTTCAAATGAAATGAAAAATAACTAGGTCTGTCAACTTTTCAATACTATTATACTGTACATACAATCAGCATGTTTCACTGACAGAGCTCTCGTGATGGCAGATGAGACAGATACTATGAGCTGTCACTTAAATTTGTAGTTACCTCAATGAAATTACCTAATAGTTTTTAGGATGAGAGCTATGCTCATGGTATTAACCCTCAAACCGCTAGGGGCCCAAATGGAATTCACACCCACAGGCGCAAAAAAAAAAAAAAATCCAAAAAATTCTTTCGTCTTATAGAAGTGTTCATTTTTGTTCCCTGATCACGGAAAAAATAAAAAAAAAATCGTAGGTGGCATATTTTAGCCGCAATAGGGTAGGGAAGTGTGGCAAAAAAGGGGCGTTGGCAGAGCCTTCGCCAGACGAGGTCTACTCCGCCCGAGCTGTCAGACGGCAGTTGCCACAAATATATTATTACCTAATTATTTCAATGTCTCTGATTTTTTCTTAGTTTTTTTGCAGTAATATTATTCCATACAGTGAATTGTGGTATATTTATATTATAAAATGTGTGAACCATCGCTGTACTCAAAATTATGGTGTGCATATTAGTGATTCAATTATTATGTTCATAAAACAATAAACAAATAGTTTTGCTGTTGTTACACTATATACACAGGTTATATATAAGTATTTGCATATTTTGTACACCATAACGAACTACTAAGTTGGTCTTGTGAGTCAAAAAGCAACGAGGAATGACCGCCAAACACCAGCGAGCCACTCACTGCCACTCCCTCCCTCAACACTACCTCACTCACCCTCATTCACCTCCCACAATACTCTTTCTGTATTTATTCACTATACACAGACGTTATATATACGTATTTACATGTTTTGTTCACCATAACTGTACATCTAAGCTTGTATGGTGAGTAAAGGCCATAAGACGTAGCTACTCGCACAGTCAGCTGATCGGTGGCCGCCCTCAAGGCCAGACGCACTAATATTTGTCCTTCAACAATATTGTTTGTGGTGTTATTACGCTATATACACACATTATATATAAGTATCTACCTGTTTTATTCACCATACCTGAACAAATAAGCTGGTATGGTGCCCAAAGATCATAGTGGCCATCAGTAAACAACATGCCAAGTCGTGCAGACGACGCTCCTCCCTCACCAAAATGGCGGCTCCCAACCTACTCCTCTCGCTGTTATCTCACACTATACACACGTTATATATAAGTATCTACATTTGTGTTCACCATATCGAACCACTAAGCTGGTATGGTGAGTGCAGTCAATAAATGGTGGCCACACACAGTCAGAAAACGACGCCACAACCCTCCCTCCCACAGCCTTACTCCTCCCTCCATGGAGCACAGCGCTAAATATCACCACAATCCTGCTATTATCAGAATCCTGGTCAGTTTTATCACAGTCAGGGGGCTTCAGTAATACTATCACTGCTAAATAATAGCAGTATCATTTATATTATGGTATTTGTAGGCGATGCTGTGGTCACAAGCTGAACAGCGGTGCTGTGAGCTCGTGCTGCGTGCGCCAGCCTTGGTGGCTTGCTCAATACTGACGCTGTAACACCCAAGAATGTTGGCCTGGATTTTTTTTCTAGGTGGCATCTGGCAACTATCGGTCGTGGCTGTACTATAGCTGCCCCTATCCCAGGCGGGGCGTTTAAATTATAGCGCTAGACACGAAATCATATATAAATGATGTGCGCGGTTTCGGTTTTGTCACTGATATCATTTATATATGATATGCGCGGTTTGAGGGTTAAGCAACAAGGTAAGATTATTACTGCATTAACAGACAAGGTAACAAATCAGGAGGAGCAAATCAAGGAACTAGTGAAAGAAAATGAGGCATGGAAAGTGAAGTGTGGTGACTTTGAAGAAATAAACAAAAAGATAGACTCATATGGTGAACAACTCCAAGCAAGCCTAAGGGCTAACATAGAGTTAGGTAAGGATCTCCAACTGGAAACTTCACTGACAACTCACATAGAGGAGGTGAATAAAGAACTAGAAAAGTATAAAGAAGAAATAAAAGCGACATATGCTCAAGTTGTAAAAGAGAAAGAGACTATCAAAGAAGTGTGTTCGGAAGTCAAAACCAGAAATGACCAACAAGAAGCAGAAATTAGGCAAGCAATTAGGAAAGAACTGGTTACCAACAGTAAACTGGTACAAAACACTGCAGATAGAACTAAGTCCATAATCATTTTTGGATGTTTAGAGAAGGAAATTTCATCTAGGGTGGACCGAGCGGCAGAAGAGATGAAAATCATAGAGAAAATAGTAGGTTTAGGAGAAGGCTCAAAGGAAAATGTCAGTGATTTTAGAAGAATAGGAAAATATGAGAAAGAAAAGAACCGCCCCTTAAGGGTGACCTTTAATGGAGTGAAAAACATGATGGAAGTGCTAAGAAATGCCAGGAATCTGCAGAGTGATGAGGTTGGCAAATCTTGGTCAATAAGACAAGACCTCTCCAAGGAAGACAGAGAAAAGCTGAAAATGAACTTAATTGAGGCAAAACGTCTAAATGGGGATAGAAATGAAGAAGACAGAAATTCTTTTTTTTACAAAGTGACAGGGACTGGAAAGCTTGTGAAATGGTACATAAAAACAAAGCAACAAGATCAGTAGTGGAAGGGGGAGTAAAGAGCAAAGGAAAAGGGAACATGTTCCTGAAAATTGTATATACCAACATAGATGGAGTGAGGTCAAAAACTTTGGAGTTGCAAGATATAATCCAGCTTAGGGTCCCAGATATTGTTGCATTATCAGAAACGAAACTTGAAGGAAATATAATAAATGAAGTCATATTCCCAAGAGGCTACTCAGTTTGGAGACGTGACAGGAAAACTAGGAAGGGAGGAGGAGTGGCTGTACTGGTGAAAAAACACCTGAAGGTAAAAGAGTTAATATTTGAAAACCCTCGAGATATTGACATAATGGCATTGCAGGTCTGGAATCAGGATGATAACCTGATAATTGTAAATACCTACAGCCCACCAGCAAGCAACACGTGGACAAAGGAAGAACTGGATGACAAACGAGAGGGCCTCATAATGGTCATGAGAGATATTATTGTACAAGCAGATAAAGATAAATCACGACTGTTGATACTGGGGGACTTCAACTTTAGAGCAATAGACTGGGAGGCCTATGAAGCAAGAACGGAGGACTTTTGGACATGCAGATTTGTGAACCTCATTCTGGAGACATTCTTGTATCAACACATAAAGCAAGCCACAAGAATGAGGGAAGGAGATATACCGTCAGTACTGGATCTAGTATTCACCAGGAAAGAAGAAGAGATATTTGACATCCAGTACCTTCCTCCCTTGGGAAAGAGTGATCACGTCCTGTTAGACATTAAATATGCTTTAAGATATCATCTAGAAGAAAATGGGGACATTGAAACAGTTGATAAACTCGATTTAAAGAGAGGCAACTATGGGGAACTTCGAAATTTTTTTAATGAGTGTAATTGGACAGAATTGTTGCTAGGCAGGGAAGTAAATGAAATGTATGCCAAATTTTTAAAACTATACGAGGAAGGCACACAAACATTCATACCAAAACAGAGATGCAGGACCAAAAAACAGGATTGGTTCGACAGAAATTGTGAGAGGGCAAGAGACCAAAAGACACAAAAATGGAATCAGTATAGGAAGAGGCCAAACCCCAAACATACCAGCGATACAAAGATGCGAGAAACAATTATACAGCAGTAAGGAGAGAGGCAGAAAGAAATTTTGAAAAAGGGATAGCAGATAAATGTAAAACAGAACCGGGCCTATTCTACAAATTCATAAACAACAAATTGCAGGTAAAGGATAATATCCAGAGGTTGGAAATGGGAAACAGATTCACGGAAAATGAAAAGGAAATGTGTGAAACATTAAATGAAAAGTTCCAAAGTGTGTTTGTACAAAATGAAATCTTCAGAGAACCAGACACAATAAGAAGACACATACACATATCAACACATATCTCTCAGGCAGCTATCCAAACTCTCTTCTCCTTTCACCAATCAGCCCGGCAGATGTTGTGTCCATCATACATTCTCTAAAAACCAAGGCAGGGAACACCAGTGAAATTCCGTCCATTGTGTACAAGAGAGCCTCCCATGCCCTTGCCCCACCCATAGCACTACTGTTCAACAAATCTATAGAGTATCACACCTTCCCTGATATCCTCAAAAAAGCAAGAGTAACGCCAGTCCATAAAGGAGGCAATCCGGCGGACATAAACAATTATAGACCAATATCAAATTTACCCATTCTATCAAAAATATTTGAAAAAATTATTTACAAACAGCTCTATTCCTACCTCGTAAAATTCGACATACTCAGCCCCTGCCAGTTTGGCTTCCGGTCCCAAAATGTACCAATGATGCAATCATTAGTCTCCTTGACATTATCTACTCAGCCCTTGACAAAAATGAGTTTCCGATTGGACTCTTCATTGACCTAAGAAAAGCCTTTGATACTGTTAATCACAACTACCTCTTACTTAAACTCCAGCATTATGGAATCCGAGGCCTTGCCCTTGACTACATCCGATCCTATCTTAGTGACAGACACCAATATGTAACCATCAATGATACAACTTCTTCCACTCTACCAATTACCGTTGGAGTGCCACAGGGCAGCATCTTAGGACCTCTTCTATTTCTTATATATATAAACGATCTGCCTAATGTCTCTAATATTCTCAAACCTATATTGTTTGCTGACGATACTACCCTTATCTACTCAAACCTCAACCCACATACACTAAATAATGTTGTGAATAATGAATTAAAAAAAGTCCACTTATGGATGTCAACGAACAAACTAACATTAAACATCGAAAAGACTTACTGCATCTTATTTGGAAGCAAATCATCAAATGCAATTCAGCTACAGATAGACAACATTAACATCAGTAATAAAAATGATGGCAAGTTTCTTGGCCTATTCCTAGACAAGAGACTCAACTTCAGCACCCACATTCAACACATAACTAAGAAAGTCTCTAAGACAGTTGGTATACTCTCCAAAATCAGATATTATGTTCCTAACTCTGCTCTCCTCTCACTATATTATGCACTAATCTACCCCTATCTTAATTATGGTATCTGTGCATGGGGGTCTACCACTGCAAACCACCTTAAGCCCATCATCACACAGCAAAAATCTGCTATCAGAATAATAACTAACTCTGCTTTCAGACAACACTCAGCTCCCTTGTTTAAATCCCTAAACTTGCTAAATATTAACTCCCTCCAGATAGAGGATAGAGGTGTCTAGAGATGAAGTGGAAAATATGCTAAAGGAGCTCGGGAGGAACAAAGCAGCTGGCCCAGATGGCGTTTCACCATGGGTTCTGAGAGAATGTGCATCTGAGCTCAGCATTCCACTTCACCTGATCTTTCAGGCATCCCTGTGTACAGGAATCGTAGCAGACGTGTGGAAACAGGCTAACATAGTTCCAATCTACAAAAGTGGCAGCAGGGAAGACCCCCTCAATTATAGACCTGTATCATTGACAAGTGTAATAGTGAAAGTATTGGAAAAGCTAATCAAAACTAAATGGGTAGAACACCTGGAGAGAAATGATATAATATCAGACAGACAGTATGGTTTTCGATCAGGAAGATCCTGTGTATCGAATTTACTCAGTTTCTATGATCGGGCCACAGAGATATTACAGGAAAGAGATGGCTGGGTTGACTGCATCTATCTGGACCTAAAAAAGGCTTTCGACAGAGTTCCACATAAGAGGTTGTTCTGGAAACTGGAAAATATTGGAGGGGTGACAGGTAAGCTTCTATCATGGATGAAAAATTTTCTGACTGATAGAAAAATGAGGGCAGTAATCAGAGGCAATGTATCGGAATGGAGAAATGTCACAAGTGGAGTACCACAGGGTTCAGTTCTTGCACCAGTGATGTTTATTGTGTACATAAATGATCTACCAGTTGGTATACAGAATTATATGAACATGTTTGCTGATGATGCTAAGATAATAGGAAGGATAAGAAATTTAGATGATTGTCATGCCCTTCAAGAAGACCTGGACAAAATAAGTATATGGAGCACCACTTGGCAAATGGAATTTAATGTTAATAAATGTCATGTTATGGAATGTGGAATAGGAGAACATAGACCCCACACAACCTATATATTATGTGAGAAATCTTTAAAGAATTCTGATAAAGAAAGAGATCTAGGAGTGGTTCTAGATAGAAAACTATCACCTGAGGACCACATTAAGAATATTGTGCAAGGAGCCTATGCAATGCTTTCTAACTTCAGAATTGCATTTAAATACATGGATGGCGATATACTAAAGAAGTTGTTCATGACTTTTGTTAGGCCAAAGCTAGAATATGCAGCTGTTGTGTGGTGCCCATATCTTAAGAAGCACATCAACAAACTGGAAAAGGTGCAAAGACATGCTACTAAGTGGCTCCCAGAACTGAAGGGCAAGAGCTACGAGGAGAGGTTAGAAGCATTAAATATGCCAAAACTAGAAGACAGAAGAAAAAGAGGTGATATGATCACTACGTACAAAATAGTAACAGGAATTGATAAAATCGACAGGGAAGACTTCCTGAGACCTGGAACTTCAAGAACAAGAGGCCATAGATTTAAACTAGCTAAACACAGATGCCGAAGAAATGTAAGAAAATTCACCTTCGCAAATAGAGTGGTAGACGGTTGGAACAAGTTAAGTGAGAAGGTGGTGGAGGCCAAGACCGTCAGTAGTTTCAAAGCGTTATATGACAAAGAGTGCTGGGAAGACGGGACACCACGAGCGTAGCTCTCATCCTGTAACTACACTTAGGTAATTACACTTTGGTAATTACACACACACACACACACACACACACACACACACACACACACACACACACACACTGTAGACCTAGAAATATTTTTATTTGATAATAATGTACCCTTAGTTTTTGTGAATCATGTGTTCATAAAGTAAGTTATTCAACATTTATACTATAGAAAATACTATACATGAAAACAAGTGAAAAATGATCAAAGAAACATCCAAGGTGAACACTGGAGTCATATCTTATACTGTATACAACAGTGTCAGAAAAAGTAATTATTGGGTCTTGATAGATGCCTCCAGATTCCTTCCATGATTGCTTTCACACTTGTCCAACCGGTAAAAGTATACACACAGTACACATTTTTTAGCTTTTCTTGCATTTTACATGCAAATGAATAATTCTATACAAAAATATTTTAGAATGTAATTTTGTGTGAATAGGCAGAAATGACTATATATCAATAGCTGCATGTTGAGGGTTAACAAATGTCCAGTAATGCATCAAAAACTAAATTTCTTTTTGCTCTATTAGCACTCAAAACTAAATAAATAACTTACGTCCAAATAGTGGGCACGGATGACCAGCAGGAAGTAAGTAAGTATGAATATCCATAAGCTGCATATGATGGTGAACACGGCTACAGCACGCCATTCATTGATATATATAAGTATTCCAATTAAAATAGCACTAACAATAATACTGAAGATGATGGATAGGAGTCTCATTGTCATGTGGGGAATCATCAAGCATGGCTTTTCCTGAAAACAAAGGAAAAAAATTAAGATATATATTGGTATCTATTGTGAGAATTATTCTTCAAAATTATGCAAGGGAAGGAGGATTATCCTATTCTATGATCCAACCTGTCATCCTAAAATGATAGTACTTATAGCAACAATTTAGACGAACGTACAAAATAACCAACATCAAATGTAATGAAATGCCCTTTTCTGAATGAGCCTCTGTGGCTCCCTGAAGCTTTGTTGCTGATATAGCTTCCAAACACTTAGCCACATCAGTCACAGGAGTCTTATTTGCTTATTGGCACCAGAGCCCAAACCTGGCCCCTTCATAGCACAGGGAGTAAGGAATTATTATGATCACCCTCACCAGGAAAGCACTCGGAAGGAAACTAAATGATGCAATACAACCGCTTGGTTTATGAAACGAAAGCACCAAAACGATCAAAAAGGCATTGCAAAAGAATCACTTAAAATTAAAAATTAATCTGAAACAGGATATGAAACAACTCCCCTGGCACACATGCTCCAAGCTGCCCACAAAGCTGGCATCCCATGGAAGAAACCACCAACCTGGATCAAACAACACAACCCACACATACTAAGGAGAGCATGAAGTGCCCCAACATTACAACTGGACGAGAGAGCCAATAAAAACAAAGCCTTAAGAAAAACAGCTTGGACTAAAGAGACACCTGCAAACCGAAGGGAAGAAAAACACGTGTGATCTAGAGACCAAGAAGGGTTAAGGCGAGCATGAGCTGGTTGGAGGTGAAAGAAAGCCAGAGACAACCTGCAAAACAGTACTGTGTAAGTATTGACACTGAATGTCAATGAAAGTGGTATCGTCAAAGCCACACGATAAGAAGCAACAGTATTATGAATGAGGTGCCGATCAACAACCAAAACAAAAAGGAAAGAACCACTGGAACCGACACAAACACTATGAAAAGAGGTGAGAGGAGCACCATGAAACTTCAACCTGTCACAATTAGGAGACACTGGTTTGACTGAGCACCATACAAATGGTGGTAAATCTGCGTCAAAAATACTAGATGCATAGACTGTAAAGGATAAACCAGCAAAATACCTCGATGGGCCAATCTGCTGAAAGAGGCAGCCACAGAAAAATGCTCGGGTTCAAACACGGGGCTATTTTATTTTCAGGAGCTTCGAAAGGAGAAGAGAATTGTCAGGGGGGAAATTGCCAAGCTATTACGAAAATACAGTACTGGGAAGGGGTCAGGATAAGGATTTGGGATGGAAAGGGGAGGGAAGGAATGGTGTCCAACCATTTGGACGGTCGGGGATTAAACGCCGAACTGCATGAAGCGAGACCGTTGCTCTACCGTCCATCCCAAGTGGCTGGGCAATAAACAGTGGGCTAGAAGAGTAAAACTAGTGCTGAGTCATCCACCCATGTGCTAGAAGGATCACCTTGCCAAAGTATGTCTCCAACCAGGACAGCAGCACCCAGAGCATCAAATGAACCAAGGAAAAGAGGTAAATGTCTCTACCAGTCCAGCTAAAAGGCATCTACTGTGTGAGTCTCGTGATCAGGAAATGAAGCCAAACTGCTGGTGCCAAGCCAACATGAAGAGATCCACCTCATGGCAACCGAATTTGTCTCGTAGCCAACAGAAGAACACATTATCGACTGTCCACTCCATGGAAATGGGCTGAAAGTGAAATAACATGTCTGCAAGAACACTGGATACAATCCACATGTGAACTGCACGGAAAACCAACCCCCGAGGAGCAAGAAGTCAAGCTACCCAAATAGTCTAGCTCCAATGAGTGAAGGACAAGAGAGACCTGCAATTCAGAGCACGAACCACCAGGAAGCAGTTGAAATGGAACCAAATGACAGCAAGGAAGAAGATGGATCCTTTGCAGGACAGGCCACACCGCCATAAACTCTCATGCTGTACTGTACACCCAATGGAGGGGGGTTTGGCTATCAACCCTGGGAGGCCTGGTGCATGCTGATCACAAAGCCCTAATCCAGAGCCAAGGTGTCTGACCATATCAATCAAGAGGGAAAGGTGGCACCACAGAACCCCACCCTGAAAACTCCAAAGAGGAAGCCGGCAAAGCAAGCGCCAACAAAGGGTGGACAGGGACTGAACCGAATGGGCCTGGCGATAGCAAAAGTGGCAGTACTGGAGGAACCAGTACATTGCCCGATGGCAAACTGTCTAGAAAATACTATGCCGACAAAACTCAGGCTCCCGCACAATTGCTCTAACAACCGACAAGTCACTGGGGCTGATCCAACACCAGAAGTTGATGCTGCTGCAGATTGAGCAGAGCTTCAGGGTGCAGGTAAAGATACTGACCGAGTTCAATTGAACCCCAACCAGGTCTGAACCTGGGATGGAACCAACTGTGACATCTGCCAGTTTCCTAGGAATCCAAACCTGGCAAGCTAGGAAAGAATCAGATTTCTGACAAGCGGACATGTGGACGGACTGGGGACCCGAACAGATGTAGCCGGGGTCACAACTATCCGTGCTAATCTGGTAAAAATCCTAGGAGCTACATTCCAGCCAAAGGGCAGAACCTTGAAGTGGTAAGCCTGATGCTTCACTTAAAACCCTAACTAGTCCTGGAAACTTGAATGAATAGCAATGTGCCAGTACATGTCCTTGAGGTCCAGAAACACTATCCAGGAATTTGCCTGCAAAACCAGTCAAACCCGAGGTAAAGTGGTTGTGCAGAAGGTTAGATAGGAAATGAAGCTGTTCAAATAGAAAACACCACCTGTCGTAGAAGGTGATGAAGCCTGGAGCAGGGCAGAGCCGAGTGAGGCCTGGGGTAGAGAGCTCAGATGCGGGGCAAGTGTGGCACTCTGAATGCGGGCGGCAGAGTCGAAGAACTCGGTGCGGATGTTATGACCCATGTATTTACCCGATTCCTAACTACTCAATTTATAAACAGACTTTTTATCATGCCTCAAATTACCGTATTTGTCAGAGTACAAGACGCACTTTTTTTTATATTTAAATGTATCAAAAAAGTTCCCTGCGTCTAATGGGCTGTATTACGGATGGGAGACAGAGGGGCATAGGCTAGGGAGCCGGACGAGCATACTGGGTAAGTTTGCTAGGCACAAAAATTGTTGCCAGTAATAAAATATTGAAAGCAAGCAGAGTTATCACAGTCTATTATCACAAACGTATGATACGTCGAAAGTTATGAAGGCGCTCGCATCATCTTACCCAGTATACATAACCCACACCTGATATGGCATACATTAATGACTTATAGATAAGACATTTATTCATTATCTAAATGAAAAATGATCCTAGATTATTGAAAGGAATGTTCAACTTTCATCCGCCTGTCGGCCATTTGCAATGCGTGAATGACACCACCACCAGAGCGCTGTGATGGTGCGCCGCCCTGGTGGTCTGATGTGGCAACAAATCATCACATCCAGAAATACAAGTTTCACATCCATTATAGCAATTCTCTTGCCCAAAATATAAAAAACTACACCACAGCTGATCTTAGAGGAGGTAAGAGTTGTGGTACAAAATCCACTTTAAATATCTTTCAATAAATGTATGATGAAACATACTATAATTTTAGTCTTTTTCCACAAAATGTCCTTGTAAAATAGGGGTGAATCCTATGCGAGGATGTCTCTTTTATGCCGGCAAATACTGTAGTTATGTATTACAATTGCCTATATTTCTTGATTCAGTTCATAGTGCTATGTTATTTTATTTATTGTGATTGTATTGCAGTTATGCTATTATATTACAGTGTTCTATTATACTGTATAAGAGTTGGTTAGTGGAGCGGTGACGAGTATGGTCACTGGTGTTGGACGGGTATTTGACAATATGGGTTCATGGAAGCATCAGTGGTACCAGCTGTGTGTGTCACTGAATGGATATTATTTTCAGAGGAGGAAGTACTGTATAATTATACGAGTTATTTCAAGTATAGTATGTATAATGTATTTAATACGCATGTTAATAAGTGTATGGTGGTGTTTACCACAGTGAGGAGGTGCGTGTTATATTACGTGGCATTGTGGCATTATGAGTCTGGTATTCATGTGATTTATTAATAAGCTGTACATATTAATGAGAGTCAGTGGTCAAAAGCCCATAATCAGTAATTATTAATCTTGTCTGTACTTGTTTATTTTTATTTGTGCCCTTCACAGAGTAAACCGGTGTTCCATTATTAGTACAACAGTGGTTTTTACTTAATGAATCCTGTAGTTAGTATTTATGATATCAGGCCCATAAGGAGCTTTCGGAGCTGCTTCCAGAACACTAGCTTTACCAAGTGCGAGTGGTAACAGCAGGACAAGAACGTGGAAGCTTGATGCAGCCGGAGTCTGGCTGTCTGCTCTGTGTTGAAGCTGAAACGTCTAGTGAAGGTAGGAGCTGGACACGTCAAGTGTTATGTTGTTGTTGGCAAATGTTGATGTGTGGTATCTCTTAAGCATCTGTACTGAACCACTGTTGGAGATAGACTGATGGTGATTCTTTGTTGTTTTAGACTCGGCTGCTCAGAACAAAAAGTTCCAAGCAGCACTGGCTATGGGGAGACTGCTTATATTACAGGTCCACACCCTGCCTGACCATCATCTAGCAGGTTTGGGAAGTAAGTAAGTAATTATCAAAAGAAGGCACCAAACCGGGAAGGCTATGTAGCACCATCAAATGCGCAAAATAATCAGAGGGCGCTAAATATCACCAAGGATGCCAATACGAGAACAAAAACGCATAAGGCGAACGATATCAAAAGTATCCGAGTCACCAAGAATTCTATTGAGGGACAGGTGACCGCGAGGGGCGGTCGGAAAGCAAGACACGCTCGTCCTGGAAGTCAGGACATTCAAGAAGGACATGCATGACCATAAGAGGGACAATGCAACTAGGACAATAAGGAGCAAGGCGGCGCTCCATCAAGTGACCATGGGTTAAGCGAGTATGGCCAATACGCAATCTCGCCAGAGCTGTTTCCCACCGCCGGTTACGGTGGAAGGAGGACGG